GTGTGCGTGTGCGTGTGCGCTAATTGCTAGATTTCTCCTCGGCACCTTTTTTATCAGATAATTAGGGAAAGAGAGCAAGCAAGAAAGAGCTCCTGGAGTCCGTACTCTTCTGTTGTTTGCTCTCATACTCCCTCTATCTCTCTCTCTCTCTTTCTCTCCCTCCCTGCATGTGACGCTGTCTGCCCACCCACTCCTAAAGGGTGAGAGGGAGAGAGAGAGAGAGAGAGAGAGAGAGGAGGGACACTGAGCAGCACAGAGAGCCAGTCTGTTTTCAGCTCCCAGTTCACTGTAGCTGCTCTGCCAGACAGCACTCAACCACACACTCTCTCTCAAAACACATTCACTTTTCACTATACGACAGCTGACAACACCTTTTCATTTTCTCAGCAGCACCACCACAGACTCACATTACCAGATCCACAAGAAGAGAAGAACAAGAAGAAGAAAAAAGACGATTTTGTGCTGCAGACATACCGGCTCTGAGGAGGCTGGGTCGCGGCTGGAGAAGGTGACTGGAGAATGGAATGGAACCTCAGAAGGATGGAAAGTGAACTGAGGCACATCAACCCGGACCTGCTGCAGCCCAGCAAGAGCTTCAAGAAGCCCTCTTCAGGCACCATCACCATCAATGTAGGGGGGTTCCTGTACACCGCCCACCGGACCACCCTCGGCAAGCACCAGGGTTCCTTTCTGGAAGAGCTGGCCAACGGTAAGAAGCCGGTTCAGCACACTGATTCAATGGGCAACCCGTTCATTGATAGAGATGGTCCCGTCTTTCGCCACGTGCTCAACTACCTTCGAACCGGAGAGCTCCAGCTGCCCGACGACTTCCGGGAGGCGGGGCTCCTGCGACGGGAGGCCGATTTTTACCGTCTGAGTGAACTGGTGGAAGCCGTGGTCGAGTGGGAAAGCCAGAGGGCGGCCCAGCGGGAGGCCGCCTTCTTGGAGGTGACGGATAGCCACGAGAGGTCGCAGGGCCTCAAGGTGTACTGCAGCGACCCCATCTTCATCGACAAGGTGAAAGCGAGGCTGGTGCAGATCTCCAAGAGCCGCCTGGACGGCTTTCCAGAAGAATTCGTGGTGTCGTCCAACGTGATCCAGTTCCGTCACTTCATCAAGTCGGAGCCGGGCTCGAGGCTCGTACTGAAGGAGGACAGCACATTCTTGTGCACACTTGACTGTCTGAAACTAGAGACAGTGATGCTAGCACTGAGATCTGGCTTCAAGCTGGTCACCAGCCTCGACAGCAGCAAAGGCTCCGTGGTGGCGGCCGAGGCCCTGCACTTTGTCAAGTAGGATGGAGGGAAACAGAGGGAAGAGAGGATGAGGAGGAGGAGGAGGAAGGTGGGAAGCAGAAAGGGAAAAGAGTAGTGCCTGATTCCATATCCACCCCGTTAATGTAAGGTATTGGCTTGAAGATCTTGTAACGTGCTGAGCTGTAATGTGTCATTGGTGGGAGAATTAGAACGGGGGGTTGGACTGTCACAGTGTTTATATCTTAACTGCACATTGCTGGCTTACAAACACAGGATTTGCTAAGTTTGAGGTAACATCGTGTTGGTTAACAGAAGGGTATTTTGGCATCAACCTTTATACTGCTTTGTAAACTTGTATTTCTAGAATTCAGAATGATCCAGAACAACTCACCATTTATGATGTCTTAAAGTGCATTTAATTATTAGATATCACACAAAAAGTACCACTTATAATAACAATAATAATATGGAAGACAAGCCAACAGTGAATTCTTCCATAGAGAAAAAAAAAAAGGGATCAATTGAGATTCTGAACATCGACAGCTTTATCAGTGGATTTGTCTCTGCACAAAAGCCTCTGCTGCTTTGTCAACGGCTGCGAAAGCCTTCAAAACCAACAGTGAGGTGCACTGTTGTGCCATTCAGCTTTTACTACAGGCTGTGTGCGTGTGTGTGGGTGTGTGCGTGCGTGTGGGTGTGTGTTGCTATACACTGTGTGTGCTGTGTTTACTTGGTTTAATAGCTTGTGTTTAGTTTATTAGCCTCTCTGGAGCCTGAAGGGAAAACCACAGCACATTAACTGTCGTTTTGGATGGACTTTACTACCAAACTTCACATTACAAAATCAGACTGAAATAACATTAACCATTTCATCAGATCGTGTCCACAAGTTGAGTTTAAGTGCAAAGAACCGTGATTATTGTAAGGGCTTTGAATCTAGCATGATGCATGTGTGCACTAAATGAACTGTGTGTTTGTTAGTGCTGTGAGCCTCTGTGAAGTCAGTGCCACAACAATGCCTATTACTTTTCAATGTGAATATTTTACAAATAAAAGTGACACTGAAACTATGGGAAAGTGTTTTGAAGTGTATCTGGTGCAAGAATCCTGTTTAATACCGCTTGTAGTGAAGTTACTTTGCATCAATTATATACACACAACACCAGACTGTAAGTCTTAGAAATGTATCTGCTCACAGTCAATGGCATAAAAAGGTAGAGTGATAAGCCTTTAATTCTGACCAACATGAACCTAGTCTGTACAGTCTGTACACGGGTAACCACTGAGCCAGACGGGACCATTCGTGTTACATTTCCAGAATCGTCTGATACAAATAAGTGGTAAAAATACAATGAATTGTTTCTCACTTTCAGCTTTAGAAAACCAGAACATTTTGTTTGCATAAAATTAGTCCTGTTACACTTCTGTGTGTTAAACACTCATTTTTATGTCTGGAACAATCTAGAAGGTGTGCAAAAGAAATTCAAGGATAACAGGGACAAAAATAACACTATGTGCAGCATATTCTATCTCGTTACACGTATTAGGTGTCAGAACAGTAGAGGGTGTAATGTTCCTGGGTTTCTGATGCCTGAATAAAGACATCACATTAAAACCCACTTTAGATGACTAATTTTAAAAGTGGCTTTAATTGATAAATGCCACTGGAGGATTTTCAACTACAGAAACCTGCAGAAATGACCAATTCCTTTATTTAAATTACATTCACATCGCGATTATAACTTCATAAACTGTCTCTAATTAGCTGGGCTTATAAGCTAATTTGAGACTATAAATAGGATTTTAAAATACACATTTGGCATCCCCCAGGGGTTGTATGGAAAGTAGATATTTCTGGTGGCTTTTATACGACTATGAATTATATATATGTATATATATATAGCTGCTTCATGTTGAGTGCATTATAAAAAAAATTCCTGTAGATGCAACACGCTTTTCTCTGCATCCCCCGAGGTTTATGATACTTAAAACTGGGATAAAAAGGCTAAAAACCGTAAAGTAAACACAGCGTATGTGTCAAAAGAGAATTAAATTCTGCCTGTTTGGTTATATTTTACACAGAAGGAGCGGCTCAACCATATATATGATGTATAAATGGAAGTACGACCAAACTCACTGTGACAAGTGAATGACTTTTTATTGTTGCTGATCTAAAGTAATTGTTTCTATAGATAAGTACAACTTGGAGACGTATATACACAATAGTGAATGTTTCTAAATGTTAAAGACCACCTTAACATTGGCTGAAAATGTTATTTTTTTCGCTGCAGTGATGAAGAAGTGTACTCGGGGTTGTGGTCTGCACATCCCGACATCGCTGTTGGGTTACAGGTGCAACAGAGTTGAAATGATATTTTTCAGCCGGCTGTGAAGTTAATCTTTAGAGCGATAATGTTGATGCCTCTGCATTGAACTGATCTGGCTCAGAGTTTGTGGTGTAGCTTTGAATTTCTGAATTTATTTTAAGCAAATAAACTTGGTTTTCCCATCCTGTGCAAGAGTCTACATAATAGTCATAGTGTCTTACAGGAAATCTGCAGGACCTAACGGTGACAGTACACTTATATTTGATAATAGTCAAGTATAATTGATAATAATAGTCATTATTGATTTTTTTAAACTGGCCATAGTAGCTTAGTCCATAGGGACTTGGCTTGGGAACCGGAGGGTTAAGGGCACTGAACCCCTAACTGCTGATTTTCCCCTCATATTGGTGTCTGTACTGTAGCTCCAGTGTTTGCATGTGTGTACTTTGGGCCTGTGTACATAATGTAAAATAAAATAAAAAATAATCCAGTTGAATCCGATCCAGTGAAAAAATTAACTCCCCCAATAAAGAACTGAGTATTATAATAAAAAAATAAAAAAATAAAAAGTCTCACAAAAGTCATCATACAATAATGTAAAAAGCCGCGACTAACTGCGGCGAATTAAGAGTTTATTTCGACTATTTTGACAAGAGGGAATACAGTTACGAGGTGCTTTGATGAGGCTCCAAACAACACTAACTCCAGGGAAGGTGGAGACCCAGAAGGGAGAGCAAGGGAGAGTAGAGGCATGAAGTGGGTGGAGGAGCGAGGGAGGTTAGGGGGGCATTAGAGAGGCAGCGACAGCAGGTAGAGCGAGAATATTTTCACATTTAACTCAGCTAGATGGTCAGACACCAGAGTTAGTGAATGGTGGAAGTGTAAAGACTAATAAAGACGGGTTGGTCAGTTTTATTGAATGAAAGTGTGTTTTTAAAGATCGTTTAACAAGGTCTTAGTTTGGTATAAGAGAGAAACTTGAATTCAGAAGTTTTAAGGTTGTATTTTTCTGTTTAATGATAAAATAGGTGTTTTTATTTCCCTTTCTTGACATTTGAGTGGATTTTGCTTATTAAAAGCTGTTAGAGCTTGTCGCAAGTAGCAAACTCACTGCTCATTAATTTAATTAAAACATGCTCTCACCTTCACACCACCGGCTCGCTGCCATCACAGTGCAGCAACTCCACCTGCAGAAGCCTTTGGGGAGCCCCTTCAAACCCCCCCCTCCCCAGTTCCAGAGAAGATATGTGGTAATTTAAAAGTAGGCCAGTCTGTGAGATAAATCCTGCCCTTTTCCCTCAAGGAAGACCTCTTTTTATCTCTCCGCATTGCACTCTGATGTGTGTCATCATCAATGTTAGTACTAAGATGCTATTTATTCTAGTAATGAGCAGTGTAAATGTTAACTGTTCCAACTTCGGTCATATTATTAGTAGTCAGAACTGATAGCTGTAGTTATTACCCTCTAAGTATTTAACTTTAAGAGTTTAGTTACTGGAATAATGATATTATTGCCCCCTTCCTGAATTGTGTTTGTTATAATTAGTCTCCGTCTTTAACTTATGGAAACCTAACTAAACTAGTTCAGATGAGATTGCCGTTCAAATGAGCGAAATGAGCTCAAGAGTGACAGGAAAGGGAGAGAGAGAGAGAGCCACAGGTCGGAGTCGAAGGACCCACAAGGTTGACTTTCTGCTGGTGGAAATATTTTCCCCCACTAAGATGTGAAATGATTGACAAGAACATGGATGCTGCTGTTTTGATTTAACAGTTGTGAGTAAAAAGGAAATATGGTGGATTAATGTGACAAAATGTTTTTTTAAAATTGTAATAATAATTATAATAATAATCAGAATTTAACAGGTGGCTGTGAAAATATAACAATAATTAAATAAATATCATAAACAAGCAATGGACTAGTCGACTATTGTCTTTATTTAACCCCAAAAATCTTTAGTCGGAGCGTCCTGTATGAGAAGGAGAATTTAAAGAGTGAATTGAGTTAAGAGTGAACAGTTAAAGTCAACATGAAACAAATCAGAGATCTATTTGCTTCCACACATTTACAGACTTCCTCTAGGGAGTGGACTTGGCGCTGTGCGTTACGTCCCCCCGGTCAAGAGGCTATTGCGGACCCATTAGCGGACTCTGACAGCAGCAGTTAGTGGAGTTGAGGCAGAGCAGCTGGAGGATGTCAGAGAGAAAACTAAGATTTTCTCCATAAAATATGATCCAAATCACTCCCCCAGCAAAACAGTCACACTGTTGCTAACTAACTAATGAGTCTTCGCTCTGTGTCGCTCAAAGTTGAAGATTGATGATGACGGGTGAATGTCATGATATTATTGGTTTAAATCGGTTAGTCCATGCTTACGTAAGCACACGCCATATTTAGTTTTACAGGAAGACAAAATGATTGGATTTCAATATAAAAAT